ATTGTGTACCTGAATTCGACAATTTTGGTGGCGGTAGTGTCATGGCGTGGGGGTCATATCCTACACCACGAGATCTGACTTGACAGCAATTTGACAGCAAATCGCTTCATGAAACAAATTCTTCAACTTCACCTTCTTCCAATCATTGACCGCCAGGGGGAGATGTTTCAACAGGACAACGCTCCACCGCACACAGCTCGAGTCAGTTAGACTCCCTTCATAATGCCAACATCAGCGACTTGCCCTGGGCGTCGAGATCTCCAGATTTCAAGCCAATGGAACACTTCTGGGATGAACTCGATCTACGTCAAAGTCAGAACACGCCGCAAACACTCCCACAACTGGCCAACGCGTTAGAAACAGAATTCCGCAGGACAGAATTCGTACACTTATCCAGTCAGTGCCGAGGAGATGCAGAGCCGTGATTGCTGCCCGGGGCGGTCACACGAGATACTGAGTTCAGCGCAACTTTGTGGCCTTATGTGACATGACAATGAACAGTTTTCAATGCTTTTGGTCAACGACAACATGTAACTATCTGGCTCCAAAATTTCTTTGTATCTACGATATTGAATTACATATATCGACTTTATTAGGTACAATACATTTACGAAAAATCTACCTGTGCGTTTCTTTTTTTGCAGAGTGTATCAGAAATCAGGACCCCGTTCTACAAAGCGTTTGTGGCGCCTTGACCATCGTTACTCACAGACGTTAACACAGTCGTAGCGCTACGATTGCTTTATGGAACGGGGCCTAGGTCAGAATACGTCAGGTAAGCAAAATAAGTGGTTGATAGCGTGAGCAAAGATCATCACAGTCGGGTTACATTGACATGCTTTCATAAATCCAATGGTCTCATTTTGTGAGTGAGTTGGGTTTTACGCCACTTTTAGCGTTTGCTCGTAGCGCCGAGACCCGACATGGGAACAATGTGTGAAGCCCATTTCTGGTGTCCCCCGTCGTGATATTGTTGGAATATTGCTAAAAGTGGCGTAAAACCATACAGTCACTCATGCAGTCACTCACTCAGAATGATTGAAATTACCGAAATAGTTTCGAGGTCGACCTTGTCGTAGCACCTTATTACGTAACGGGCAAATTCAGGCGACGAAACACACGGCACAGTTATTTGTGAGTGTGGTCTTCGGCGTGCATGACGAGCGAACGCTTTAACCACAAGACTACCCCAACCGCCCCTAGTGATTAACATTCAGCGTGTTCCTGCTAATTCCATACAAAAGAGCAGTTTGCCTGTTTAATAAAGCTTAGTATTAAGAGCGTACAACCTTCCTTCTATTAGCGTTTGCTCGTCACGGTGAAGACCCGTTTCGATTCCCCACGTGGGTACAATGTGTGAAGCCGATTTTCCGATAACTCCTGTCGTGATATTGCTGGAATATTGCTAAAAGCGGCGTTAAACCATACTCACTCACTCACTTACTCTTTCTATTTCTGACGATATTTGGGATTGTTAGCCGTAGATGTTTGCATTTAAGTTGCATTCAAGCATTCAAATTACATGGAAACTTCCAGAAAATATATACACATCGTTATTCACTTATCAATGTCATTGTACGCGGTATTAGGTTAAGAAATATTCCAGTTACTTATCGTTAATATTTCAAGGTGTGCAAGCTGGACTTATACACTGAAATCTGTGAAAAGAAAAGGATATCCAGTACGTCAGAAGGTTGTACACAGACTGTGACTTATGGTTTGTTTGTTTGTTTGTTGTTTAACGCCACATTAACGTCCAGAATCTGGACCCGACAAACCAATGATTGACACAAGCAACGACCAATGCTATCGGGATACGACGACACGCAACCAACCGAGCTTGGCCACCCGATCTATGAATAGTACAGTCGCAGGATTAATTGAAAATCGTTAACATGTGATCATCTGAATATTCGTGGAGCTTTAATGCTCTTTAAAAAATACAGGACACAAGCGATCGCCATTTTGAGTTTCAAAACGCAGAAAACTCTGCCAGTGTAGGGGAATTGGTGTAAGACTCTTGACAATAACACGGTTCGCTTATGCTCATTTCCGAGTTAGGTAAGTTTTGGGGGAAAGCACAAAGCGAAACAGGTTATACCGGTAAACGGAAGGGTATGCAAGGGTGTATTTATATCAGAGTAAAGAGTCATTTGTTAAAAGTGTGACCGTCGCGTGCATGTCAATATATGTGGTAGTTGCATATCGATGCATGTACGATACTTGCGCAGTATACACAGCTGACAACCTGCAAACATTTGGACAGAGTCGCCCGTTCCTATTTATTGAGGTCACTACACAATCTCATTAAAATCAGATCTGAGTTCTCGCTACCGCTGAACAAAGATCTGAGGACATCCCATTAGGGGTCACGTCAGACCGACCTTGCGCGAATTTTGACCGACCGATAGAAGGACTGACAAGAAGTCGACATTAGCCAATCAGAAGGCAGCTTTCTCGTGCTTTACGGCACTAATTTCAAACTGGCGACTACGCTTCGAAACATATTTTGACAAATTCTCGATTACAAATTTGAAACCTGAACAAAAGAACATTCTGGAATGGCATACATTGTATGGATTCAGTCGTTAAACCCGTAACTATCGTTCGGAATATCCCGTGTTAAAGCTTTCGAGGTTGCAATTGGGATCGATGACATGCATCAACCAAGTCAGCGAGCCTGACCACCCGCGATCCCATACGTCGCCTCTTAAGACAAGCATATTTGCCTTTTACGGCAATCATGGGTTGCTGAATCCAGTGTTTGAAATCATGAGCATCGATCCACTTATAGTGATGTTGTTTATTACTATATAATATACTCAGCAACAAAAGTTCCTGTGACACGATGTAAAACAAGAACCTGATCAAAGTAGACGCACACATCTGAATTAATTCATATTTGTAAACAGACAATGGACCAGTAAAACAAGTTGACACATTTAATGACATGTCTAGCACAGAAATGACGTTACGACAAGAGAAAGATGCAAGAACAGAATTGTCAATTCACAAGTCAGTAGCGTGTGTGTCCCCCCCTCTCGCTTGGATGCATGCAATGCATCTCCTTCGCACTGAACGGATCAAATGTCTGGGATGGCAACTCATATCTCCACCTGCCTGTCTCAGTTCCTGTACTGTAGTCGGAGCACGTGGTAAACGTCGGAGACGCGGTCCATTTCCTTCACATGTGTTCAATTGGAGAGAGGTCTGTAGAGCGAGCAGGCCATGGCGCCACATTCACGTTGTTCTTTCCAAGTGCTTGTTGAACAATCCGGGTCTGGCGTTGTCTTGCTGAAAAATCACGCCTCGTCTATGTTGCAAAAACGGCGCTGAGGTTGCGTTTGTGCTACATATTTTCATATCCGATCTGAACACCAGAATGTTTTTTCTTGTATGCAACCGACTGGAAAGGTGTGTCACAGGTACTTTTGTTGCTGAGTATAGATATTGGCAATTCCAATTCATTTTCTGGCATTGAGTCAAACGTAGAAACAGAAACACTCATAAAATCATCATCGTCACTGTCAAACACACCCAGCAGCTGTTCCAGACGACGAGTTGGTTGGAAATTTTCCTGATTCACGTGGGATGCCTATTTCCCCATAAGAGTGGGTGAGTGAGTTTGGTTTTACGCCGCTTTTAGCAATATTCCAGATATATCACGGCGGGGGACACCAGAAAGGGGCTTCACACATTGTACCCATGTCGGGAATCAAACCCGGGTCTTCGGCGTGACGAGCGAACGCTTTAACCACAAGGCTACCCGACCGCTCCTTCCCCATAAGAGATGCACATGCACGTAATAGTCTTTAATATAAAAAAAGGCGGCACTTTCTTCAGATTTTCCCCTAGTATATTTAGAATTATCATCAGAAGGCATTAAAGGGCCAAATATAAATAAAGTTAAGTAAGGATAAGAATTTATGGATGAACAACCTCTTTATTACAATTAAGAGCGACGTTTCGGGGTAGGTTCTATAACACCGTTATCAAGCGAGTGATATGCAGAGTGTGGTTGACAAGTATATTTACAAGTAGGAGGCAATGTTTATACAGTAGAGTAGATATTGTTATGCTGGAGTAGAGTAGCCTGTTATGTACACACAAGGGTAGTGATGACAATCATCGGTGAAGTCAGTGACATAAACAAAGGATGAAGCCAGTAATAAAATCAATGGGATTATGGCTGATTGGGGTCTTCGATGAGTTAATGATACGCCAAGGGTATGTAATAGCCTTGGTCAAGGTTCATTGACGGCTGGAGTCTTTTGATGTTGATGGCTTCTTGTAGTTTCCTCGCATAGCCAAGTTCAATAACCTCAAGAAACAAACCTACAGCCATCAACCCACTAGAACATCGGCCATTGAAGACTACCACAGCAACGCTGTCATCAACTTGAGCAGCAAAAACCTCAACAAGCAACAGATTGCTGTCCTGGCCAAAGGGTTAAAATTCTCACGAACCAGCATCCGGACCAACAAGGATGAATTCATAGCCAACATCGAGAAGAGATTAGGCCTACAACAACTGGCCCCGGGAGGTAATGTTGACTTCCTACGACACCAGATTGTCAACATCCTGAACAAGATATGTTTACAGTTTTCTTTATATTTCCGAAGCCCCAAAGGCCATTAAAATTATCATGACGAGAAACAGATATGTATTCATTCACAGTAGAGATGAGTTGGAGTGGATGTTGCTTTACGTCGTAGTTTTTCCACTTTGATCAACTCGTGTTGATATATTTGATATCAAAAGACACTCGGGTGAGATTCTCTATTTATCTATGAGATCCTCACCCCTCTAGTTGGCGATATTCCGTGACCAGCTTTATATTTACGTTTTAATTCCAGTTCATTCACTTTCGCGAAAATCCTTGTTTGGCTTTACCACTTGTTTTGCATTCACGCATACACATTTGAGAATACGCTGTGAAAAACGTAAAGTGTTGTATCTTAATCATTAGCGGGACGCAAAGAGACCGGAGGCAGAGTTAGCTACCTTTGTGTCAAAGATGGCGTCGATCCTTCCAAGCAGAAATATTGATGAATTTAGGAATTATTTAGCGTGAAAGAAAATGGTTGGAGGATGAAAGTCATCATCATCCTAATTCTTGCCATTGCAGACGTCCAATGTATGTATATTGTTCATGCTGCATTTTATTTAGCATTTCTAAAGTTATTTTTCTTTGTGGGACTTGATTTGGGTAATAAAACTAGGGTTATTTTGCAAACGTAATAAACAAGTTTTTACAGAATTGTCATTTCCCACTTGTTGCTGACACATTTATGTATAGCAATTATGCAAGTAATAGTTGTTCTTATACTTGTTACTGGTAATTTACTGTTGTGGCACAATTTCGTGATCGTCAACTGACACAATTTTCCACGAGTTACGTCGAAAACAACATTGATACACATTTGCATTGAAAAAATGAGAGGATTTACCAAATCCTAATATATTAAAATCTCAGGTTTGTAGCTGCACTCAATGCAATTAATGTCATGAGATTGATGACATTAGAACATACTATGATGTTGATGACCTCACCCTACATCCCCATTAGACATCTATACGTGTGTTACACATGCATTTTACCTGACACCAAACAGCTATGTTTGTTAAATGTTGCTAATATGCCGCACATGACATCAATAGTATTTACAAAATAGTGCTATAATGCTCAATATAAGCAGAAAAAAATGGCTGCTTGCATTTGTTTGGTTCAGTGTGATCACACCCCAAAAAGCAATTCACAAACTTCAGAAATTGTACATCAACATCGAAAAATCACTAGAAAATAGAAGTTCCAAAATGACATGCCATAAACTTGTTGGTGACATCTCTCTGGGCCACATTTCAACAAACACATATTTGTCATTAACTTTGCAACCTAAGAGTTTCATTTACTTACAAAAGCAGCGTTGCCCAATAGTTAAGGTATCATAAGGACTAGTAGAAATTTGCCATCTTTGAGGGTATTGCATTATGTTATCATTATAAGGACTATTAGATGAAAACAGTTAGTTTCTATCACTGAAACCCCCTGTAATTTTCGTGTGTCAGCTAAAAATGTTGTCAAAAAATTTGAAACCGTTATTTAGAAGGGAGCAAGTGCACGTCCCTTACTTAAATGATGGACATGTTCGGTAGATTGCATTCTTGCTGATGTAGAATTACACCCATAAAACTATAGTCATATGAAAGGATTTAATGTTCTTTAAGTTCTTTTGAGAAGTAAAGTTTATTTTTTTAGTCCTGTTATCAGGGTTAATAAATGAATTCTCAACTCAAATTTCATAATTGCAGAGGATTCCAATTCCAACTATTTGCATGGGCCAGTCAATGAATTGTGTGTCAGATTCACAGAGGCACCAAGCCTTGGTCACCGTGGCCTCAGACCCGTCTCTTCATATTTGAAGCAGCAGAGGTCATGGGGTACATTACCCCGATTACAATCCTTGCACCCTACACGTTTAGTTTTCAAAAAGGGCCCGAGAAACATGAATATTTTGTTGACTGGTCTCGCCTTCGCCAAATGAAATCAATTGAACCTTTCAAATCCTACTCGTCAAATATGCTCATGACCACATACTGAACTAGCTGACAATGACTTCTGCCAAAAACAATGCGATACTTCAACTTTTCTTGTTTATTTTTGGGTGGATAATTTTCATGATTCACCAACTCTGACCTACACGGAACAATTTCGTATTTTGGAGGAAAAACATAGTTGTCTGTTAACATGATTAAAATGTTGGTATTAAAATGCCTGTTGCACAGCGGTTCATAAAAGTTCAGTGGAGTGATGTCTGAACTGCACTTGACAATTCTAAAGGCCTTATAATTCCCCCCCACATGCAACCTGCACAGACACAAGAGGCATTGTGCATCATGTGCGGTTTATACTCCTTTTTAGGGGTTACATATAACAACATTTATTCACTCACACGATGCTGTAGCACTTTGGCAGGCAGATCTGGTATTAGCTGTTTCAGACCCTGAACCATGTTTTTTTCCTTTTCGTCAAGCCGCTACACAAAGATCTGAGGACATCCCATTATAAGTCACGTCAGACTGACCTCTTGCATCCTTTCACCAACCAATGAAATGACTTACAAGAAGTCAATATTAACCAAACTTAAGGCAGTTTCCTCAAACTTTATGGCACTAGTTTCAAAGTGGCAGTTTGCTTTCCAGACTGGGCTTTGACAAAAATGTTTTGACAAAGTTCTAGATTCAAAATTTGAAAACTGAACACAAGAATATTCTGGAATGTCTAATAGATGGACAAGATTGTATGGCAGTACTTCCCACAGGCTATGGAAAGTCTCTTTCGTTTGAATTTTTTATCCCATTAAAGCGAGTGAGTGATACTGATCATTGCTGATAGACATTGAGTTTGATGGAATCGGTCGTACAGCCCTGGAACTGTCTTTCGGAAGACCTGTGTTAACCTTTTCAAGGTTGCATGGTTAGAAAACTCATTTCGACTGTCACTTTCCCGATCTATTAGGCGACACTCTGATTGGTCGGATGAAAAGTCATCCTGGTGTGACTCTTATGGGATGCCCTCAGATCTTTGTTTAGCGGTAGCGTGAACTATGTTCTGATGTTAATGAGATTGAGTGCTTGTAGTTACCAGGTGGCCTGGGTCATTGACCCCAAATTGTGGATACGGTACCCAAACAAGCAAAAGCTTATCTAGAGCTCGGGGTGGGAGGTTGACAGGGGTCGTCAAAAACCTCTACCCCGCACCCCCCTCTGTGAGATATGACTGCTACCTTTGTGTTATCTCCTGTAGTGTTAGAGTATTAGGATCTGCTACATTATATAATTGTTTTATTAAGGATTGTTACTGTTGGGGTTGTGACTAGGACCACTTGACTTTTATGCTATATTTTGAACCTGGCAGTGCATTATTTAGGTAATATGACCACAGGTACAACTCAATTTAAAAGATGAACACATGAGCCAGTGGCCGTCTAATAGCAATAACCGATTATTATCATGATTATTATTTACAGGGGGGCTGTCCGAACAATACCCTGCCCTCGATGTGGAAAGCCCCATAACTGTGCAAGAGGGTAGGGAGAAAAAACTGCCATGCAGGATACGGAATCCTCGCAACTGTTCCTCCATGTACAAACGGTTTTACTGGGAGGCCCACGAGAAGCGCTTCCTGCAGCAGAAGATCATCAACAATGGCTGCATCGTGGAGCTGACCATCAAATCCACATCCTCCGATGCTGGGCAATACAGCTGCATCCTCATAGCTCAGGACAGCTATGAGGTCAAGGAAAAACTGAATATATTTATTTCTCCTAAAGGTTTGTAGTGGACACAGGGCAGTAGTGTTCCTGGACTCCGACAAATACTTGCTCTAGTTACATTTTATCTTGAGGTTTGAAAAATCATTTCACTAATATTATCTATACTTAATCTATATAGAAGCAAAAAACTTGCACATTTTAGAAACAAAAAGGATAATTGTCAGATAATTATGTACCCGTGAAGATCCGGGTTAGAATCAGTCTTCAGCGACCCATTCTTGCTGTTAAAGGTGACTATGCTTGTTGTAAGAGGCAACTAACAGAATTGGGCAGTCATGCTCGCTGACTTAGTTGATGCATGTCATTGTATCCCAATTGCGTAGATCGATGCTTGTGATGTCAAGCACTGCATTGTCTGGTCCAGACTCAATTATTTCCATACAGCTGGAATATTGCTGAGTGAGGCAATAAACAACACTCAAACAAAGCAAAATCAGATAATTATGTGTGATAATTTTTATACCAACATTAAAAATTTGAAAAGTTATTTGACTTTTCCAGTGGGCCATATGGGACCTGATCAAATACTTTATGGTGTATGTTCATCTTGTCACTGTATTAGTAGGATCATGATGATCACTGTAGGACTCTGTGTTTTTGTCTCACAGGCCGGCAAGGAGTGAAGTGTTCAGTCCCCATGTTCAAGTGTGTGCCACAAGGTCACTGCATCTTCCAGAGGTACCGCTGTGATGGCTACAACGACTGCCCCGATGGCTCCGATGAAACCAACTGTGAGAAAGGTGAAGGACAAACTGGTTCATGTTTTTGGTGCACGGGTGATGATGTAACCTTGATACAGTCATGGGGTTCACATATTGATTAGTGCTGGAATTCTGCCTGTTATATCCTCGGTCGGGTAGCTTAGTGGTTAAAGCGTTCGCTCGTCACGCCGAAGACCCGGGTTCGATTCCCGACATGGGTACAATGTGTGAAGCCCATTTCTGGTGTACCCCGCCGTGATATTGCTGGAATATTGCTAAAAGCGGCGTAAAATCAAACTCAATCAATCAATGTTATATCCTTAGTGATAGGATTAACATCTCCAGATACTTTGTCTTTACCAAAGGTGCTGTGGGAATATTGCTAAAAGTGGTATTAAACCGTACCCACTCTCTCACCTATCTTTATCAATCACACCACAGGCAGACCTTTGAGTGTGGGTTCGAATCCCGGTTGGCCCTGATTTTGTTTCTAGGTTTGTCAGCACCATACCTGTGCTTGTGGGTTTCACAAAAGTGGTAAACGTCTGAGATCTGCATCACTTCGGGCTTTCCCCCCACATTAAGCTGACACACCGTGATATAACAGGAATACTGTTCATAGCAACATTAATCCCAACTCATTCATTCACTCAATCATACCAGAGTTTGGGTGGTTACAATTGAAACAAGACCAGAAGCATAAACTCCACATTGGCCGTGTTTATGATAATACATACGGAGGAGTCGCAGTATGGGCCTTGTGGAACTTGAAACTATGATGGCTCAGTCTGCTTCTTTTGCCACTAGTCTAGTAAAATTTCTTATTGTCTTGTAAGATCACTCAACACTCCAAAAACTAAGACTAAAATACTCTGAAAATAATGCCCAAATTTAATTTTGGGTTAGCAGATTCAAAAGGTTTTGGCACAGGCTGTGTTAATAGTAAAATGAAAATGATGGCAAATGTCAAGTTAAGTCGACTGACTGCCTTTTGGCAATGGACCCAAGGGGGCGGTCGGGCAGCCTAGTGGTTAAAGCGTTCGCTCGTCACGCCGAAGACCCGGGTTCGATTCCCAACATGGGTACAATGTGTGAAGCCCATTTCTGGTGTCCCCCGCCGTGATATTGCTGGAATATTGCTAAAAGCGGCGTAAAATCAAACTCACTCACTCACTCACTCAATGGACCCAAGAAGATCCGGGGTAGAATAGGTCTTCAGCAACCCATGCTTGCAGTAAGAGGTGACTGACGGGATCAGGTGGTCAGACTTGCTGACTTGATTAAAGCATGTCATTGTATCACAATTGTGTAGATCGATGCTCATTATATCAATCACTGGATTGTTTGGTCCAGATTTGATTATTCACAGACCGCCGTCATATAGCTGGAATATTGCTGAGGGCATCGTTAAACAACAAAGAAATAAAAAATTTTTAGCACCAATTAGTACAAGGAGGTGTACGTTGTTGTGGGGTATGCAGTTATCTCCCTCAGACCAGTTTCAGTGTCTGCAAACAATGGATGTCAGTGAGGACAGGGTTGACACCGTCTTCCCGAGGAAAGTGAATTAACTGACTATTAAAAGTCCAGTTTCCACCCTTGCCGAACTAGGCTGGTATTATGGAGTTACATTTTGGCTGAATTAACGAGTCTATGCATAGTCCAATCACAATCGCGCAACGACATCGAAATCTGGTTCGTAAACTCTCAATCAGATTTCGGTCAATTGCAGGATTTGCAAAGCATGTGCTCCGCCAACACGTTGTCAACAGATATTTTCCAAATCTTATCATGTTTTTAATCAAGGTGCTCACATGATTTGATGCACTTGGCGATGTAAGACCCGTTCTATCACAATATAGATCTTGATTATCGATCGACCGGGCGCAGCCATTTTGTTTGAAGCAAATGCAAGTGATACGAGAGGTGGAATCTGATTGGTCCATAGGAGAGGCATAGAAGGGGCATAACTCATAATAGCCACTGGTGGCGCTACGATTGAGCCCCGGAATTCCAGCCTAGTTTGACAAGGGTGGAAACTGGACTTTTAAAGTCAGTTAACTCCCTTGCCTCAGGAAGATGGGTTTCTGCTTCCTTATGTTTGTCAATGTCACATTCGGGACCGATATTCTTGATAAAGGTACTCGTACTACCATTCCAGGATAGAATTGATCCCCAGCAACCCAGGCTGGGCCCCGTTCCACAAAACAATCTCAGCTATGGTGATCGTAACTCCCATACTTTTAACATAGACTTACAATAGTCGTAGTTGTAAGATTGCTTTATGGAACAGGACCCTGGTTGTACAAGGCGGCTAAGTGTACCATTGGTCACACTCGTTGACTTGGTTGATTGTGTGCGTTGTCTTGAATGCATGGGTCGTTAGACTCAGTGATTAAGAGCAGCCGTAATATAGCCAAACTATTGCTGAATGCGGCTTTAAACGCAACAAACAGAAGTATTAAACATGTGTGCCATAAATTATTAGGGGTCAAGGGTGGCCCAGTCGTCTATGGCGCCGCAGTTTGCTTTTAACCCAGCTCACTCACTCACTAAATTATGACGTGTACAAATGTAAGTAGCTGTGAACTGTGTCATGGTTTGTTACAGACAAGTGTGCTGACAAGTTTGTATGTGACAATCAACGATGTATCAACAAAGACTTGCAGTGCAATGAACAGAATGACTGTGGGGACAACTCAGACGAGGACAAGCGATGCCAGGAGGGTAATGATTGCCATGGCGATGGCGCCATTCACTGATTTCGTACCACACAGCTCATTTAGGCAAATGAAGAGGGGATAATTGTACCATATTTTTCTTGCATAATGTGTGTTTTTCTCATCGAAATAAGGTATTTATCTGGACCTTCTCAGAGGCAAATATTCAGGCCAACATCTGCAGCAAATAACCATGATAACAGAAAAATTCCTGTAATTTAAATTAAAACTTAGAATTTACTAAAATGAGAATACTGACAAAAAATCCAATTTTAACAAGATGATAATCTTTTTCCCAATTTGCTTGCCATGGGCACTTAGTTTATAATCCTAGATACATCCCAGAGACTCCCATATGATAATATTGTATGATGTGTTTACGAAATGTCCACCAAACGGATAATAAAACTAAAGATATGGATGTAAATGTGTAGGAACCTTTTTGTTAAAACTTTACAGTTACATGAAAGTTTGATTACATATGTTCTTTCCCACTTCATTCTAGCCAAGACTTCAGCTGAAGCAAAATGAGGGACTTTGTGGTTGCACAGTTTCGCACAATGTGGCAAAAAAACTGACATTGCCCTGATTTAATGAGCATTGGTTTAGGAAGTTTTCTTTGGCTATGTTATGATATATTTTACTCATTTTCACACTGTTTTTTACCTTTGAACCTCTTCTCAACCCTTCCCCCATACAAGGCTTGTGGAACTAATTAAAGTAAGCCTGGGTTTGTGAGCACCATACCAGTGCTTGCAGATTTTACCAAAGAGGTAAACGTCTGAGACCTGCATGACTTCAGGCTTTCTTTCCACGATAAGTCATCATGGCGTTTAAGGGAAACACTGTTCAAAGTTGAAAAAAACAAACTCACTTTCAACCCTTCTTTCAAATGAATTAGGGGCAGTCGGGTAGCTTAGTGGTTAAAGCGTTCGCTCGTCACGCCGAAGACCCGAGTTCGATTCCCAACATGGGTAATTCTTGTTTACCCTGCCGTGATATTGCTGGAAAAATGCTAAAAGCGGCGTAAAACTATACTCACTCAAATGAATTAATTTTGACATGTTTTCTTTATTGATTTCTCATAAGTCCCCAAGAAAGAAAGGGTAAATTTTAAAATATTATTATTTTTGAGGCAGCTGGCATTTTGTGTTTTATAATTATTTTTTTCAAACAAACCGTTCAAGGCACCTGTGTACATTACATGCACCTGATAGGATTCACATGAACAAGAACACCCGATGTTTTCAAATGACTCTAGTTTGATTAACTATAGTCATATGGTTAGTCTATCGTCATATGAAAAAAATGGGTGTTCTTTAAGTTCTTTTGAGCAGTATTTATTAGCTTGGTTGGACATATATTGCATATTTCATCAAATAAAGAAAGAGGCCGTCCCACGAAGCAATTTTCTTCATCTCGGTACTTGCAGACAGTTAAGTGATGTTAGATGTGTGTTTGGTAGGGAGGCAGTGGTGATGAAAATCTAATTAATAACTTACTATGGCTTTTTTCTCTTATCTTTTTCCAGAAAAGGACCACACACGATCAATGACTCATCAATACGTTTAACAATATGCATATTTTCGTCAAATCGCATGGAAACTTCTTGACAATAAATATTTCAGAGCAGGTTCAAAAGGAAAAGCTAGCTGTAGACACATGTCTGTACAGGCTATTAGTAGTGAACTTAAAACGCTAACTGCAACACATTTTGCTACGACTGACAAAAACACCAGGGATCATTAAACGAGTAGTAAGTTACTGACCATTCCTGCAAAAAATTATACAACAGTCTCTCCTGCAACACCAGGATACATAGGATTTATTTCTGAGGAGACCTTTTTCTTTTGTTGCAGATCGCACACCAGCATTTCCAGAAGACGACCATTTTGATTGGCTCAAGACTACTGTCTACACAGTGATTGGCTGCACAGTAGCTGTTGTCATCTTTATATCTTTGATTGTGATTGTAGTATTCCGTGTAAAAATGAAAAGACTACGAGCACGACGAATCGCTCGTGCAATAGAGCGCCATCGTCAGCACCAAGGCAGCACCGGCCAGTGTAGAAACCAGGAACAAGACCCGTTCCTGGCTATAGGATCAAACTCTCATTACGGCAATATCATAGTGAATGTGAACAATGGCGTCCAATATGTGCCAACTGGGGACTTTGCTTCCTTTGTGGATTCCCCGCCCCCATACCATGAAGTGGTTGCCTTGGAACGAGACAGCTCCCCCCCACCCCCTTATAGTACAATAGACCGCACCCCCAGGCAGAAGGCGGGGACAAGTGCCACCCCTGAGGATCGCACCAACCCTAGTGGTAGTGATGTGCGTGAAACAGCCCCCCAGTCTTCTGATATGTCAAGTATACAAGAAGACATTTCAGTTTTAGTTGATGCTTTGACTTCTGAAACTACAGAAGAATCTCGGAACAGTAGAAGTGACGTTAACCCTCCCGTGTACCCCGGTAGTGCCTGGGGCGTGGCGGCTGGTCAAGGGCTCGCTGCTGCATCCTCTACCCCCTCCCATTCTCACCCCAGCAGCAATAGAGAGTCAGTTCATGATAGCAGTAGAGACGCTAACCCATCAACCTCGGATACAGTGTCCCGCTCGCGTCAATCGTTAGCGTCGAACACTGGCTCGACGTCCCTTCCCCGGCCAGCGCGACTGGCCGTTCAAGGTGGAAAAATTGTGTTAAGTGCCGAAGATTTGGAACCCGCAGGCTCAAGTAACCAGCTCAACACGTCTCAGGATGACACACGACCTCGACAGTGTCACCTGGAGGTCAAGGAAGGTCAGATAGTGCTTACTGATGTGACTCGTAGTGACCTTGGAGTCCAGTCACCTCTCAACACGGACGGTGTGATGAGAGGCACAGGGGAGCTGGAAGTGCGTGATGGACAAATTATTTTCAGGCCAAAAGAAACATGAACAAACATATACCGTACTCGACGTAATAAGCGCCCCGCTCTAATAAGCGCCCATGGTGATATTTGCTAATATATTGGCTAGTGAACTATCCCAATTAGCACCCCTTCCGATTGATCAATGTACACAAGATTTATTTATTCACGTATAATACGCAGCCGTGTGTTATATGCACTCTTAATTATGGGCAATTAAATTCTGGAAAAATATATCTGTCGTATATAAACATTTCAGGCTGTCTGCATAAACCACGAAATTTATCTTTCACCTGTTTTTTTTCACCAAAATAATATTCTAATAAGAGCCCCCTGTTTCTAATTTTGAGAGCGCCCTGGGCGCTTATTACGTCGAATATGGTAGTAGATTCACAGGGTATTGGGTATATGCATGTCAACTGTCCATCAATGTCAAAATAGAACGTTGTTATCATTTGTCGATAGCTTTACTGATCCATCATTTGTTTGATGGAAAATGGCTAAACCGAAAAAGCATTATTTAGTTAGCTTTAATTGAGATAGATCTGAAGTCTGCATACATCGTAATGAAAAGTAGTTTCAGTTTTCATTATATTGACAGTTATGGCCATGCCTTTAGTGTTTGACTGTTCGAAGGATCCTAATGCGTGTAGTCGGTTAAAACATTGGCACATAGTCCTTACACAATCTTCAGTTCTCAATTTCATTTTAGTATGTACAAAGCATAAAGTTGGCCATTGTATACAATTAGTAACAGTATATAGTTTTACACAAAATATACTACTCAAAAGAAGTTAAAGAACACCCAATCTCATAAAAATCAGATCTCAGTTTTTACTGCCGCTAAACAAAGATCTGAGGACCATTAGGGGTCACGTCAGAACAACCTTTCGTTAATTTTGACTGACCAATGAAATGACTGACAAGAAATCGACATTAGCCAATCAGAAGGCAGCTTTCTCGAGCTTTACAACACCAGTTTCAAACTGGCGACTACGTTTCGAAACATAGTTTGACGTATTCTCAATTAAAGATTTTAACACTGATAAGAAGAACATTCTGGAATGGCTTTCTGATGGCCTAGATTGTATGGATATGATCATAAAACCCGTAACTATCATTCGGAATACCCTGTGTTAAATATTTCGTGGTTGCATGATCAGAAAACACATTCCGACTGTCACTTGATCTGGTAAGCGACGCTCTGATTGGTTGGATGAAAGGTCGTTCTGACGTGACCCGTAATGGGTTGTCCTCAGATCTTTGTTTAGCGATAGCGAGAACAAAGATCTGATTTTAATGATATTGAAGAAAACCTGATTTTTTCATGTGACTGGTTAGTCTGTCATTGTGGGTATTGCAACACACAGCCTTCCAATTGTGTGTGTTGTTTAACTTTTTTTAAGCAGTATATGTTCAGATTTAGATCGAAACCCTTTCAATTATGATACAAATATTTTGTATGTACACAAAGCAATGTAAAAATATATATGTTCCTATTTATAGGTTCTTGTCCATGCTTCTCAATATTGTAACTTTGTGCTATTGTAAACAAACAGAAGTGAGTATAATCTTTCTGGATGGGGAAGGCTACCATCAAAGGGACCACATGGTCGATCACTGGTTAGGAGATATCATTAATTGAATGATTTATTTTTGTGGGCTATATGAGTGAAAATTCAATGAATTGACAATGCACTACCTCGTCCGTTTTAAAGCTATTCAGTTCATCTTTTTTTTATTTTGGAGGGATGATATTGTAGATTATGAATCCACTCTTTAGTCAGTACCGACCATGCTCCCTGACTTGGTTGATGCATGTCATCATATCCCAATTGGTTCATGCTCATGATGTCACTCACTGGATTGTCTGGTCCAGACTCGATTATTTACAGACCGCTGCATATAGCTGGAATATTGCTGAGTGAGGCGTTAAACAACAAACAAACAAACAAAGACTGGTAGCCTTCCCCAAATGTTACAAATAGCAGGGACTATGTGAAAGGTATTCTGAGGGAAAGACAGTTATCTGATTCATTTTGACTTGCTAGATGTCATGCCAGGCCAGAACAATTTAGTTACTTGTTAAACAGATCCTCAATAATAATTCTGTAAAGGGAAATAATTATGTATTGTAACATTTTATCTTACAATGTGTGGTTACATTTTGACTGATCTCTCCTCCTTCCTCCAGCAAAGATACAGCATGAAACAAAAGCAATGAATTCTTAATGTGTATTACATAGTGTATACACACAAATGTTACATAGTGTATACACAAATGTTACATAGTGTTTACACACAAATGTTACATAGTGTATACATAAATATTACATAGTGTATACACACAAATGTTACATAGTATATACATACAAATATTACATAGTGTATACACACAAATGTTACAGTGTATACACACAAATGTTACATAGTGTATACACACAAATGTTACATAGTGTATACACACAAATATTACATACATAGGCACACTGCAGCAGATTGAGTCATTAATATTTTTGTATTTAAAAATGATTATTATTTTTTAACTTTTCCTCTGATGGTATTTTTCTTGGATAAAAGTCTTAAAACAATTTATTATTTTTTAGTCGGATAAAGATTACATAGCATTGATTTTGTCTCTCATTTTGGTCATGATAAATATAAACAAAGTTTCAACCTAATCTAAGTTCATTGGTTAAGAAAGAAGACCTTTTTTCAGAATGTTTTGTCTATTTTTTGGATTTATATGAGAAATATACAGGGGAGGGAATTTCAGTGACCACAAATTTGTTAAAATATCGTGGCTTCCCCCTAAACACCCCCAAATCATGGACCACTTCCATTGAAAAGAAGTTTCAGCTGAAAAGGAAAATATCCATTCTCATCCCGGAATATACTTTTACTACAGCTTGTGGTACAGCATCCTATTCATAGATCATGGTTTAAGTGGTGGGGTTCTCTGCAGCTCAGTAAAACTGATGTTAATGGCAGCTTATACAGTCACCTTGACCTTCCGGTGTAGCTGAGAAGGTTATACAATCCAGTCACAATGAAAAGGCATTTACTTGTGAAATATTTAATACATTGTTATTTCTGATAATCCCATAGTCTGAAGTATTATTTTGTCATCTGATTCCTTTCCCAAAGAGGCTGCTTTTTTATGCTGTTTTATGCTGTTTTACTAATTACTCAACCAGCCATATTTGTCCTACTGAATCATATGTTTTTATGAAACCATATTGTAGCTTGCAAGAAACCAATCTTGTGCAAGAATGTGAGTTGTCTCCCTTTGAACCTAGCTGTCCAAGCTTCTTCCCAGTGCGTGACACCTTTGTTACAGTCTCAGTAACATCGCTGCCCTCAGTGTGGGAGCGCCCATTACTGGAACAGAGCTCCAGATAAGCTGTGTATCTGCGTAAAATATGCATCATAAATGCAGAAATATGCAGTAAAATAAAATCCAAGCGTATCAAATACGCAACAAACATTACAGATAAGCTACAAAAATAAAACTGTGCGTATCATCAAAATATTGTGAAGTAACCCTGCGTATTCGATTAGCAAATCACCAACTTATTTTGAAATTATAAATGGACATTCCGTCAAGCTTGCCAAACTCCACGATGACAGTTACATCATGATCATTTGCCATCACACTTTCTTGTGGAAGTATCGTCTTATAAAGATCTCGAACCCACACGACACCAGTTTGCAGGGACTAGATGAATAATGTTTTGAAATATTTAACTTAAATACCCACATGTGTAAAAACTAGTGGGTAACAGAAATTTGAATACCCAGATAGAATTACTGATGCATGGGTAAAATACCCACAACACCAAAAGCTTATCTGGAGCTCTGTGGAATCTTCAAATTTGCCCTCTAACTCCAAATGTAGTAACGTGTAATACTGTATGCTTTTGTTTGTCTTTGGGAATGCCATCATAGCGAATTTTGAAAAGGTTTATGACTGATCACATTTGCCAGATGAATTTAACTTTTGGTTTGTTTGATCAGATTGGTTTGAGATTGCAGATAAACAGAAAATCACTCAACATTTTTACTATACCAATTACATGATAGATGAAATGAAATAGAATTTCAAATTGACTAACAATGAAAGTAATTTAGGTGGGGTAAAAGTGTTCGGTGTCATGACAGACATCGCTTGTTTGTAAAAATAACAGTCAGTCAATTGTGAGTTCAACTCCAAGCATGGTTGTGGTCACCTATCACCGTGGGGAGCTTTGACTGGTGGCAGCAATAGTATAGAGAGCTCCGCAAATGCTGTGAGGAGCTTGATAGATATCCTGTTGTATAAGCAAGAAGGAAATATGCAAATCACTAAGCGATGAAGTGGGATTTTCAGTTTTACAATGAAAAGGCATTTACTTGTGAAATATTTAATACATTACCGGTATAACCAATAACTTTTTGAAAGGGCTACAAAAGCACCAAAAAGGAGCCCCTAGAACTATGATTATGAAATCGGTCAAACTTTTTTGATCTCCACTCATTTGACAATTCTTTATGGGCATTGAAGGCATTCCAGTATGTTTTTCAGTAAGTTCAAAAATATGTTTTAAGTTTTCATGGGGATTGGGCCTGGAGGCTTTTCTTGATGTACTATAATCGTCAAAAACCAGCAACTTATTTTCATCCATTTATTGAATTTTTTATTCATGCAATATGTGATCATTAGCATTATACATTATAATGTCAGGATGAAAGCAGTATTGTTTATATGCGTGAATAGGCTTTCTAAAGTTCCATATATGTACTGAGGACTCACACATTTCGGCCGTTCCTTTTAAGTGGTCGTTGATTTCAAGGTCACAAGAGAGAGACATATGTATTGAGGACTCGCACATTTCGACCGTTCCTTTTAAGTGGTCGTTGATTTCAAGGTCACAAGAGAGAGACATTTTGTGCTACGTGACAAGAGGGATAGAGCTGGTGACTTCATTATGGCAAATGGGTCCAGCGTGTATAGCTGTAGGCTTATGATGAGGGTGAAGGCGGTTGATGAGTTGCTGAGTGTCACCAGTTCGCCAGGTGAGCTCCAGACAATTTATGTTCAGGCTGTGTGCATCAGATTCTCTTAAGAGCTTGTAGCAAAGATTACAGAGATGGGTAAAACGTCTATTGCCATGACAGCAGGGTATTT